AAGAACAGACTCGTAGTTTCAGGTTCGGGGCTGTCGTCTTCAGTGGTGTATGTTTACGCGTTTGAGTTTGCAAAACGTTGAAGTAGAGACCCTGCAATCCATATTGTGTCCCTGGAATGAGGCTCATAATATTGGGGTCGGCAAACCTAGTAGTATATCCTTGTAGTCCCTAATTATAGTTATAATACTTACTGTATCCCCCGACAACCCTGTTCTAGTACAACACCTCTACAGTCACCCTTAGTAACCCTTGTAGAAAGGGACCCGGATCGAATCATTAAGGTCCATTTTGTTACATGCCCGAGCCCAGTGGCTCCACCGGTGACATCGAATCCAGACGGATCGTTCTTCTGGCTGGCGAACCTGAGGTTTAGCCGAGACAGGGCCCCCAGTGCCTGCCATCTTGAAGCATCATCATCAACATCATCAGGATCACCATCACCATTACCATCCATCACCATCATTATCATCATAAACACCGCCATGACAACATCATCATGCACTTGTTCCCGACCGACAGAATCTTCAGCGCATTCGCCATGACCAGTATCATTACCAACAACAACATTATCATCACCATCATCAACAAAAGACAAGAACAACATCGCCACAATCATCACCACCATCACCATCATCATCACTGATGGTGATCATGTTGATGGTGCTGGTGATTATGTTGATCATGAACATGAGCACGACCATGCCCATGGCGATGATCTAGTTGATGGTGATTTTGATGTTGAAGATGATGGTCATTGTGACAAAGAGATGAGAGGTCGTGTCTGGCAGTGGCTGGTCTGAAATCAGGATTTCGGATTCGCAAGTTCGTGTCTTCTGACGCAGCGAATCCTATAAACTTTGCGAGGGATACGGTTTAGGGTTTAGGGCTGCTTGTGCCATGTTGTGCTGGCAGGCGCTGGGGGTGGAGCTGACGTTCAGGGTTCTTATCGAGTATCCTGGGAACTAAAGGTTAAGCTTTGGGGGTATATTGGGATTGTATGGGGAGTAAAGTACCCCAAAAAGGCTAAAGGCTACCTACTCTGCGAGTAGGTTCCAGGTTTACGGGTTCAAGGTTGTACAAGGATTTATACAGGGGCTTGTACCGGGCTGTTGGATTCAGCTTGGCAGGAAGGCTTCATAAGGAGTCAAGCCTACCGGAGAGGATGAACCACGTTCCTCAAAACAAGGACGAAGGAGCCGAGTGTTGGTCTTCATGGCCAGCATCGGCACGATCATCAGCGCCAGCGGCACTAACATGGCTTGCTTCATTTGAAAATTGCTCAAGGGAACCCCTGAGTGCAACAAAGCGAAAGGGACAGGTACATCCTGCGGTTTGAGCACGGCGACACGGAAAGCTCTGGATCGCGACCCATTCGAACCGTAAAACCCTAACGCCTTGAATCCCGAACACGCGTCCGATCCCAGTCCCGCTTCGCTTAAACTTAAACTTCAAGTTCGCAGGCAAGACCGTGCCGGCCAGATAAACTCCGGATTTCGCCAAGTTTAGGGTAAACCCCTAAACCCTAAACCCTAAGAAAGGTATTTTGGACAATGGCACTCTGGGGGATCGTGAAACTGCCTTAGTCGTCTGGTAGGAGAGCCGTCAGTTCGAGTTACATACAACCCCTAGCCCACTACATACCTTTGCATGTATTCACATCTACACACATACATGTATACATATATCTATATATATACACACACATACAGTTGTTTGCATGTCTTCATATCTTTCTGAAAGCGAGAAAAGAGATATGGAGAGTACGTAGCTACATACCTTTTTTTTACTCCTGATTGCGGTAGCTTAAGTTACCTTGACAGGCATCCAGGAATTTTTTGAGACAACCTAAAGCATAAAGATAAAACGCCAGAAACTCAAACCCCCCAAGCCCCTAAACTCTAAACTCTAAGCCCACCTGTCAAAAAAAATCTCCAATAAGACGAAACCGTTACAGGAACTCAACAAAAAAGAAAGCCTTTGCACGAATCCCCAAGGGAACCCCTGAAAAGGCAGCGTGCGACCCCCTTCAAGGAATCCAGACTCCTTGAAAGGACGTCCCCTCGAAGACTGCTAAACCCCAAACGAAGCCCCCAAAACCCTAAAGCTCCAACCACTAAACCTCTGTAAGAAACTAAGGATCCCTAAACCCTGAGCTCGTAAACGCCTTCAAAGAATCCCTGAAAGGAAACTCGGCCTCCGAGACTTCTGTGTCAGAAAGATGGAAACCCACAGCAGCGGGCTGAGCGCCTCGGAGGTGCCAGGAAGTCAGGTGGGCTTAGGGTGGCTTTAGGGTTAGGGGGTGTAGAGTTTGGGGTTCAGGGTGTAGGGTTTGAGGTTTAGGGTTAGGGAGCTTAGAGTTTAGGGTTTAGGGTTAGGGGGTTTAGGGTTAGGAGGCTTAGAGTTTGGGTTTAGGGCTCACAGGGTCTTTGGATTTCGGGTTCCGGGCTCGGGACTTCCCATACACGTGAGTTCAGGGTTTAAGACTTGGGGCTTTTAGGGTTAGGGTTTTAGGGGGGTTTTAGGGCTTTGGGGTTTTAGGGTTTAGGGGGGTTTAGGGTTTAGGGTCCTACCCCTTGGGAGACTCATCCGTTGGAAGAGGCCTTCATAATTGGAATGCTGTCCCTGCATAGAAAGGTTCTTACACAGGGTCTGCACGGGTAACTATAAGGTCAATAAGGGTTACTGTACGTAAAGAAGGCGTCCGTAGAGGTAGCTGCAAGCGCTGCTGTCGGGTTTTCGATTGGGCTTGATAAAGGGGTCTTTATGATTTGGACAAGGTTCTTAGAGAGCTTTTCTGAGTCGTTTCCAGGTTGTTAGAGGCTTCAGAGGCGTTCAAGCTTTTCTTACGCCTTCGCACGGTGCCTGCCTCGTAAGACTGTGGATAGTTTTCTAAAGTAGGGTCGTTTTTAGGGTCCTTTTTATAAGGGTGCCGTACTATATTGGGGAGCTAACAAGGGACCCTAAAATTAGGGAACTATCCATGTAGTTCACATTACAGAACATGTGTACCACGACTGCAAGGCGATCTCTATGATCTAATTATCCTTCCCACCCTTACTACTAATTTTTGAAGTGAATGTGGGGGCCTTAACGATTGGACGAGGGTCTTGGGGTATGGAATACGGGGGTATAGTATACATAGGAACCCCACGGAACGATATTGGTAAACCGATGAAGCTTCTATATCATTATTCGTCTTCTTATCACTCTTCGCTTTATTCTAACTCTTCTTACAGCTACAAGTGTCGTATGTACTACGAAGATCATTATGTACATTAGCCCTAAACCCTAAACTCTAATTATGATAACTCTTACGGATTATTGCCGCCCTGACACGCTGAGCCCGACTTGGAGGTGCATGGGTATTCAGAAGTGGGGTCATAAGTCCTCTGATATGGCTCATCAGTATAGTTACCCCACTTATAAGTCCCCTAATATGGCTTGTAAGTATAGTTACCCTACTTATAAGTCCTCTAATATGGCTTATGTATATAGTAGTATAGTTACCCCACTTATAACCCCCGTTTAGTCAGTTTAGTCGTAAAGCCCCAGGCACCGTGGATCTTGGCGATGGGGTCTAGGGTTTAGGGGTTAGGGTTTAGGGCTTTGGGTTTGGGGGTTTAGGGTTTAGAGTTTAGGAGTTTAGGAGTTTAGGGGTTAGGGTTTAGGGCTCTTTAAGGGTTTGGGTTTAGGGTTCAGGGCCCGAGGCACCCAGATTTCGACCCCTAAAAACCTTTGCTATTCTTGGAGGCCCTGCGCACAGTAGCAGTCTCGTAACTTAAAACCAAGCTTGCTCATTACTACACTAAAGCCGGTACGGTCTAGCTTTGTGATAAGAAATTTTATTAAACAAGAAATTAGACTCTGGCCGGTCCAGAAATAAATTGTTTGAGACTCTCGTCCAGAAGGAAATCCTACTTAGTCATGGTTTACGTCTTATATACCCTTTTCGCAAACCTGGTGCCAGCCACTTGTAAAAGCCTATTGCTAGGAGTTCCAAAACCACCAAAAAATGGCTTTTTAAAGGCGCGGGAAGCTCAAAATGGTGGTTTTGGAACTGGTCAGGGCAGGGGCAGGGCAGGGGCAGCAGCAGGGCAGCAGCACGGGCAGCAGCAGGGGCAGCAGCAGGGGCAGGATTTACTTTACGGGCG